GAAAAGACCAAAATCAAAATTGTGGAGAAATTCTCACTGCTTGGCATGAGAAATGCAATCAGACTCGCTCTCATTCACACTTCTCACGCATGCAAACAGGTGCGCAGCAAACTGGCGACAAGCGCCCACTCGGAACTCAGAGATATGGTAACCGAGATCACAGTTCAGATACAAGTTCGCTTCGATGGCTATGGCGACTCAGCGCCCACACAACTCTCTGTTCGCACACACAGGATCACCCTGGATATCCCACACGCGATACTCTGAACACACACACACACTCACTCACTCTGCACGCTCTCTACAGCTATGGTGGCTATGGCCGCTACTACCCTATCGCTATGGCTACACTCCTCTCTCGCCCACTTCGTCCTCGGGCTCACTGCAGACCACCTCGCATAAGTTGATTATGGCAGCGCTTCCGCATGGCTTACGCAGGAATGAATGAATGACTGGGCGCTGCCTCTTGATTTATACTTCTGCAGCTCGTTGGTCTGGCCCTCTCCCATGCCCGTAGTCCACACAGTCCCATGCGGTACTTGCTTGACTGGACCAGGACTAACTGGGACTGGGACTGCCTACTCGATAGGTCTACAGATCGAACCCCTGCTACCTATGGACCCTACAACAGCCCACCAACTGTTACAAATACACAGGTCACGGGTTCAACTCTAGGGGTGGACACAGATACTGTACACGGGTAAGGAGGGGACTAGGGATTGAGCCCTGGGATCTGCATCAGCTACTGCGAACTGGTGAATACCGTTTCACTCCCGCCGGCCTAAATTCGTGGTCCTCCGAGAATAACTCAGTCCAAGGCAAGATCTTTACCTTTCCGATCTCTCTCGTAGGCTCTAACTATGTCGGCAGCTGTCTCTAGAAGTTCTGCTATAATGAACCAGCGGTCGTCCTCCGGTTCCTGATACGCAAACCGGACCTTATACTGCTTCTGCGGACGGCCTCTACCTCCTGTTCTGAACACATCTTCACCTACAATGCCGTCAATGTCATATCGTCCGTCCATGTCTGGAGGGATCATGGACCGTCTAGATGGAAATTGTTGACTTGTCACACACGGCAGCAACTTTGATGCATGGAAAACAGGGTAGGTGTGGAGGTGTGCTGGAATCTCTATGGTGTAGGACAGTCCATCCTCTCCGCCCTTAACTTCTAGAACTGGCCATGGTCCTCTATACGCGGGCAGTAACTTCTGCGAGATGTTCTCCTCAGGCGCAAACTCTTTAGACTTGACCCAGACCAGGTCGCCTACCTGAAACTGCGATGGGCGACGGTGCTTATTAGCTTGTTCTATCATTCGGTGTTGGGCCTTCCTGAGGTTCTCAACAACAGTGGCTATTTATTTCTCGTGCTGTATCGCGAACTCCCTAGTACCGGGTGGTAGCCTGTGAATCTGATCCCGGTTAAGCCCCTCAAACGGTCTGCGCGGTCTAAAGGACTTGTGCAATTCATTGGGAGTGCGACAGGTGGACAAATGCATGTTGTTATTGTACGCACTGGCTACCTTGGGTAACATCTCGTCCCAGTTAATCTGATCGGGCCTAATGTACATACGCAGAACCTGCTGCAGGATCTTGTTCATCTGCTCTGTCTGACCGTTAGTCTCTGGATGGCGGCCAGACGACATCAACAACTTTGACCCATAGACTTTCATCAGTTCCTGCCAGTTCTGACTTGTAAAGCGACTATCTCTATCGCTGACTATTGACAACAGGACTCCATGCTCACTAACCCAAAAGTAAAAAAACTTCTGTATTGCTAACTCTGTATGTGCCTCTACAGGCAAAGGAACAAAAATAGCATACTTGCTAAATCTATCGACTACAACCATGACTTGGCTCTTGCCGCGCCTACTCTTGACACCAACATCCATGAAGTCAATGGAGGCTGAATCTCCCGGCTGGTCCAGAATCGGCAAGGGTCTGAGAAGACGTAGAGGGGCACACGTAGTAGTCTTGTTCCTTTGACAGACTTTACAACTGCGGACATACTCTATGCAGTCGTTTTTCATCCCTGGCCATGTGTACGCGTGCATGAGATTGGCTAAAGTCTTTTGCCAACCGAAGTGTCCTCTGTGTCATGACATTCCCCTAGGATCAGACTGCGGATCTCCTCACTGTTGGGAGATCATAGGCGGTCTACTACATTAGTCTTCTCAAATAATAACCCCTTTGTAGTGCGGTAATCTGGCTTGGCCTCTGGGGTCTCCTTAACCTTCTTGAGGAGGTCACTATAGATAGGGTCCTGCGCATATGCATGTCTAACTTTCTCTTGCAGGTTGTGCCCTATGTCCAGATAGTGAACTACGGCTCCAAAGTAGTCTGACCTTCTACTCAGAGCATCCGCAACTACATTGTACTTGCCCTTAACCGGCTTCAGCTCAAAGTCGTACTGGTCTATCTCAGCGGCCCACCTAGTCAACTTAGGTGTCATTTTGGCCTGTGTCTTCAGCCATCTAAGTGTCTCATGGTCTGAATACACCTTGAAGTGCCTCCCAAGCAGGTAATGCTTCCAGTGCTCTAAGGCCTGCCTTAGAGCGTAGAGTTCCCTCTCATACGTCGAGGTAGCAACCTTCTATGAGGGCATCCTCGCGGACATGAACTCTACGGGTCTGTAGCCATTGTCGTCGTCCTACTGTAACATGGCGCCTATACCATACTGACTCGCGTTTGTGGAGACAACAAATGGCAAGGACGGATCTGCTACTTTGAGGACAGGGTACTTTATCAATGCGCGCTTTAACTTCTTTAGCGCAGACGTACAATCCTTATCCCATTGCCAGATCGTTTCTTTCTTGAGCAACCTGCGAAGGGGAGCGGCGATAGTCGAGAAGTTCCTTACGAACTTCCTATAGTAGTTAGCTAGGCCTAAGAACGACCGCAACTCAGTCATCGGGGCGTCGGCCAGTCTCTAATCGCCGCTATCTTACTGTCCTCAGGCTTAATGCCATCTCCGTCTAACACGTGGCCCAAGTACAGAACTTGTGTCTTGGCCCACTCGCACTTCTTTGCATTGATCTTGAAGTTGGCCTCTCTCAGCTTCTCCAAGACTTGCCTCAAATGACCTTGGTGCTCTTGGAGGGTCCTGCTGAAAACTAAGATGTCGTCTAGATACACTACAACAAATCTATCTAACCAAGGCCTAAACAAATCGTTCATACATCGCTGAAATGTCGTTGGCGCATTGGTCAGTCCAAAAGGCATCACTATGAACTCATAATGCCCATATCTAGTCCGAAACGCAGTCTTGTACTGGTCATCAAGATGGACCTCTATTTGATGATACCCGAACTTTAAATCAATCTTAGAGAAATATCTGCAACCCTGCACCCGATCTCAGAGATCGTCTATCCTGGGCAGTGGTTCAACATTCTTGACTCTAATCGCATTCAGACCCCTATAGTCTAAACACATCGCAATTCTCCTTCCTTTTGGGGACAAATAGCACCGGTGCTCCAAAAGGAGACGAACTAGGCCTAATCCAACCTTTCTCCAGGAGCTCGTCCAACTGTTTGCGCAACTCCTCTAACTCTCTAGGGGACATCATATAGATTGCTCCCTTAGGAATCCTACTGCCAGGCTCTATCTCTATCCTATGTTGGATCGACGCGGCACTACTCCTGTCAGCGGCTCTGCCAGATCTTTAAACTCTTCCAGCAGCTTGGCAATGGTTGGATCCATGGAACTATCTTCTTGCTTAGGCTCAGTGATAGGTCTGACATACACTACAAAGACCTGGTCTTCTAATTGTTCCTTTCTCACTAATCGCGCGAACGCGGGAGCACTGAGGCAACAATGTGCCAAGGAGTTATCTACTCCAAACACATGGAACAAACGGGCTGTCTTAACTTCGCCTCACGGACTAGGGAGCCTACACTCATGCTCTCTCAAGTGGAGTGTGGCCTCTGCTGCGTCTCCCCAGTCCAAACGGAAGGTCATCCCGTACGAGGAGAGTCAGGGAATGGATAACTTTTTCCACCTTCCCATCTTTCTCTAGGCGGAAATACGCCTGGACTCCCTTTACGTAGTCCTCAACTCGCATCGTGCGGTTTTCTGCGAGGACACTAACTATGGGGTCTTCCAACTTCTGGACTTTTATCCTAGCCTCAGCTTCTTCAACGCTCTACGGCTAATATAGCTACGGGTAGCCCCTACTCCTGAACACTTCTACATCCACTAACACTAGTTGCCCTTTACTATCTTTCTTTATCTTGGCCCAGACAGGCATTCTCTCCTTCAATTCCTTTGCCACGCCTGTGAGGGACGTGTCTAGAGAGACGTTGACACAAGCAGTCTCTGGACAGCTAACTAGGCACGGGCCTGCAACCTCTGCCGAAGGCACATGTGGTGTGGGAGTTTCCTGTACGCGCGCGCTCGCTTCCCCACATGGCCTAGTAGTAGGGGCAGTTGCGACCCCTACCGGCGACTGCATTTTGACTCCTGGGCAGCCCATCGGGCATGTCTATACTTAGGACAATATTTTATGACATGGGCAGGGTCACCGCAATAAATGCACTGCCCCTGCTCCATACGTTGCTGCCAGACTTTCTGATCTAGGCCCAGATCTTCCCAAGGCCGGCCTTGCGGCCAACCCGGGTGCCAACCTCCTCTCCTTTGAGGTGATCCTCCACCTCGTCTTTGAGGGGACCGATTGGGACCTTCACGATTTGGCGGGGGACCTTGATCCCTACCTCCCGCTTGACGGTTCCCTTGACCGCCAACCCCCTGTGCGCCCGATCCTCGGCCTCCCGTGGCCTGGCCCCTTTGGCCCTGGCCTCCTCCTCTACCTTGCGGCCTCCCTCTAGCAGCGACAGCAACATAGGACCTCCCCTGTCCTACGCTATTGTCCTCCTCCTCGAGGCCCCACTCAATCTGACTATAGGGGACCTCGTCAGTACCACCTTCTTCCAATGTAAGGATCATATGATCCTTGGCCCTAACCTGACCAGAGATGGTACGCCCTTTCCACTTTTTTCCCTTATCTAAGTCTTTGTGCCAGAAAGTGGAAACTGGCATTGACTTGGCCTCAAACAAGACCACCTCCCTACTCAACGCGTCATACGTAATGTTGGGCTATTGGGTCTTGTCAAAGAAGTGCCCTCGTAAGGGCTCTGGCATGGCATGATAAAACAACTGAACCAACTGGGTCTCAGTGACCCCGTGGTCTGGGACGGCTACCAAGCCGTCCATGACAGCTTTGAGTGCTCTTGCACTCCTCCACTGTCGTGAATGGATGGTCTGTAGCTTATCGGAGGCCCTGACACCTCTAGTGACGTCAGCAAACCTCTCTCGCAGGAGTTTGAGGAAAGTGGCGAGGGGGGTAAGCCTGGAATATGTGATCATGTTGTGCTCGCAATCTGCGGCACGTGCGAGGGACCTGGCGAAGCTAGCCGCTTCGTCCTTTAGAGCGTGGAAGGCAACGAGGACTTGTTCCTCGGGGGCAATATGCTGTAAAAAGACATATGTGTTTATACTGGCCTCCCAGTTATCGAAATTTTCCTCCTCCTTCCCGCTATACGCATCAGGGAATTTTAACTTGACTGGCTCTTTGCGGGGACGCGTCGTGGCCTCTGTTGTGGCCACAACTTTGGCGGTCTCAATGGCGCCAGTGCAAAACTTGTCTACGCCATCCCTCACTCTTCTAACTTCGGTCCCGACGTGGCTCACCACGTTGCGCGCAAACTCTCTGAACCCGGAGCGCATTGCTTGCAGAGTCACCACTTGACCCTTACGGGCCTGGTGCTCTTCCAGCCAGGCCTCACTCAAGACTTTCAAGAAGCCCATCATCTTGTCTAGTTTGGCAGAGACCTCTGCTTGGGCCTGCAACTCCTGCCTGCCGGTTCGCACTCGCTCAACCTCCCTGGCTATTCTACTGGCTTCCTCCCTCCTCCTCTTCTTTTCTCTCATCATCTTCAACTTCCACTCCAACTTTTTCTCATCCTCTGTCGCCTGGCGTTCCAGGGGATCCTCTATCAACTCCAGTGCCCTGGCAAACGCCTCCCCCTCCTCCTGCGCCACATATAACTGTGCCTCTTCATCTTCTCCCAAAGATAAGTTAGCCACCCATTCACTAATCTTCTTCTCCCTCCATCTGTCCTCCTCCTTCGTGCCACTTGCTTCCCCTCTTTCTTCTCCACGTCTTCTTTCAAGGGGCTCTTCTTCTTCTTCTTCCTCTGCTGCTGCTTCTTCCTCTGCACCCCTTCTTCTTTCCTCCTCCTCTCTCTCTAGCAACATCATCTTCTCCTTTTGAAATCTCAGCATCTCCTCCTCCAATCTCTTCTTCTTTGTCGCCTGCTCCTCTGCAATGGCCTTTAACTTCGCCTGCTTAAGGATCTCCTTCTTCTTTTTTTTCTCTCTCAAAAGGGCAGCAATACGGGCCTGCTCGGCCTCGGAGGGGGCAATACTCTTCCCACTACGGGTGTCAACCATGGTGATTGGTGCACAACCAGACAACGGTTCCACTCCTCACCACTTAGACTCTACTCCCCCTGACTGACTCACCTACTGACTCAATCTAAGGACTTACAGAATCCGGACGGATCCTGTCAACTAGGGTCTCTAGCCTAGACCTACTCTAAGGCTGTCACTACAAGACCTGTTGCTGATCAGGAGGCATTTAAGGAGATCCCCCGTAACTCTTCAGGAATTCTTTAACATCGCAGACAGGACGACGCGATCAGCAGGTCTTCTCAAGACTTAGACGGCCTTTTGTGCAGCCCACATTAGGGATTTTGGGTGTACCGTGCCACACCGAGCAGCCCGCCCGTCAGTACCGGTCCTTGGGAGGGTTCGTGTCCTCCGGGACAGTCGAGTCGTCAGACACAGTCTTTAGCCCTACTCAACCCGTGTGGGTTTGGTCAACAAGGCCCTATCCTTCATCCACAGAGTTCCTATCACCTGGACAGAAGAGACTCAATGCAGAAAGAAGAGACAGACAGACTTGACTTAGCAAGTACCACAGGGTGTGTGCACATCCATAGGGCGAGGGGATAGGCTGAAGGCTTGGCGAGATTATACCAGCTCCAACTTGGTCAAACTCGTGGTCAACGGCCTTGGTCAACGCCTTGGTCAATGCCTTGGTCAACGCCTTGGTCAACGCTAGGTCAACGCCTCCGGTCAAATCCCGGTCAACGCCGGTCAACCCCGATCAACACCTCCGGTCAACCCCGATCAACACCTCCGGTCAACTCCGGCTATGGCGGCCGGCTTCACCTTCGTCGCCACCCTTCTCCTTCCTTCTCCCTACCTCGCCTCCTTTCTCTTCACCCCTGCTGTCTTCTTTCTCTGTTTTTTTTTTTTTGATCGTCTCTCCCTTCACCTCCTCGACTATGGCTTCTTTCACCTTCCTCAGTCTCCTCCTTTGTCCTCTCTTCCTCCCTCTCCATTACTTTGTGGTGGAGCTTCGCGGCTATGGCCGCCTCTCACTTCATGGGACTGCACGGCACACTTCACAGGTAAGTGACAACCAAACTTGTATCGCTCATCTCTCTCTCTCTCTCTCTCTCTCTCTCTCTCTCTCTCTCTCTCTCTCTCGCCGTAGCGATGTCTTCAACGCAGGTACGTGGTAAGCCAATGTTGTATCGCTCAACCTTTCTCTCTCTCTCTCTCTCTCTCTCTCTCTCGCTCACTCTCTCTCTCTCTTTATCTCTCTCTCTGTCTTCTTCTTCGTCGTGGTCTTCTCTGCAGGTGCGCGCGGCAGCTTCTACAACCTCCAAGTCCGCTATGGCGGACTTCTCTCGATGGCCACTTCGGCTATGGCGCGTTCTCTCCCTGCGACACACAACGGCACGGCGCGTGGAATAGCGGGTCCCAGCTCCGATACCAATGCAATCAGACTCGCTCTCATTCACACTTCTCACGCATGCAAACAGGTGTGCAGCAAACTGGCGACAAGCGCCCACTAAGAACTCAGAGATATGGTAACCGAGATCACAGTTCAGATACAAGTTCGCTTCGATGGCTATGGCGACTCAGCGCCCACACAACTCTCTGTTCGCAC